CCCGCTTATGCAAATGAAGCCCGGGAAATTCAAATCCCCGGCTTCATTTGCAAGTGCGGTATGCCTACATTACCCTCCTAGTTTGAACTAGGAGGGTAGTGTAGACCCTTAGAGACTAACGAAATGAACAGTAGATGCCCCAGAACAAATTAACACATGGCTTCAGAGTATGTAGACAGATGCATGTTTCAAAGAGCTTGCAAATAAGGTTTCATCCTACAAAACAAGCAACACACCTAGTACTTGCTACTTTTGATTCATAAAAGCCAGAACTCTACCACAAAGGAAAGATCTAGCCTTAATGCAATCTAATATTCCCTGTATTAATTAGAGATGTTAAATTTAGATTAATAGGCTAATCGAACAGTCGATGCAATGTGCATCGATTATTCGATTAGTCGATAAGGGCTCCTTCGCCTTTGAAGTGTAGCAACAGTCCCAACACTGTTGCTACACTTCAAAGGCAAAAGCACTGCGGGAGCACTGGGCCAACGGGGGACTTCTGCAGTCCCTTGCTGGCGCCATGCTCCTCACAGCATTTCAAAGCAGCAGCGCCGCATGGTGCAAGCTTCACGTGGCGCTGCTGCTTTGAAGCACCCCTCTTCTCCTCACCCTCCTTGCTGCCTCTTTCTGATAGAGGCATCTGGGAGGGCTTGGGGGGGAGGGGAAGCGACTAGTCAACAAGTGTGTCGACTATCTGATAAGCATTTGCTTATTGGATAGTCGACCAGTCATTCACATCCCTAGTATTAATTAGGAACACGAGATTTTTAAAAATCATTAAGATCAGAGTTTTAGATACCTGCAACCCTCAAAAAAAAATCTGTTAAAAAGATGTTTTTTCTTTCTTACTTTAAGCCATTGACACCTATGTCAACTTTGTTTGAAATGTTATCATACAAATGTCCTGGCGTACCCCCCAGCCAGTTTTCCTCCCTTCCCTCCAACCTAGACAGAGAAGACAGCAGCAAGTGAGTCAGGGACACCCCAAGCAAACTGCCCCCTGCCTCCACCTCACTGCACAGATGCCAGCACCCTCCCACCTCCTCTTCCCAGGAGGCTTGAGAGTGCTGAGTTTCTGCTTCTCTCCCAAACTCCCCTCTCCTCTGACACCCCTTCAGCCAATTACTCCCTCCCACCCTTCTCCTCCTCCCTCTCCTCTCCCTCACTCCCCCCACTTATTCCCTCCTTATCTTCTTTCTGTATCTGCTCTAGGAGCTGCTCAGCTTCAATCATGTGCAGCTCCATTTAGCTGTTTGCTTAGCGAGACAATTCCCAGCCCCCCTTGCCGGTCAGCTGAGCTCCCTGCCTGCACGGGAGCTTTGAACTTCTGAGCAGAGCTCAGAAAACAGCTTCATAGCCACACAGACATGCAACTAATAGGTATCTTAGCTGCTCAGATCCCGAGAGTGCTAGACAAGGGAGGTCCAACCTGTATCGGAGTCCTAGCCAGAGGAAACTTCCCATTCAATTCCGTCACACACATACTAGCATATCAAAAGAAGGGAGTTACTTATCAAGTGTAGGACCAGTGTTAGGGAGGCCAATTGAGTCAAGGTGGACCTGTCTCACTCTCAGCAGCTGATGGGGAGATGTGAATACCAAGAAAGGGAAAAGTGCCTTTGTAGTAAATCAATCTGAAACCTTATTCAGTCTTAACTTGATCATGTTAAATTTGTAAATGAATAGCAGATCTGCTGCTTCTTTTTGTAGTCTTGTTTTGAATTTTGTTTTTTTGTGAAAGGCTGGCTACTTTTAAATCCCTCACTGAGAGTCCAGGGAGGTTAAAAAACCTGTAAGGGCACATCCACACAGCAGGGCTAAAGCCGGAATAAGCTATGCAACTTGAGCTACGTCGATTGCATAGCTGAAGTCGAAATAGCTTATTTTGACTTTTGGCACTGTTTACACAGCAGGAAGTCCAAGAAAGAGCACTCTTCCTCCAACTTCCCTAACTCCTCATAAAATGAGGGCTACAGGAGTCAGAGTAAGAAGTCCTCCAGCTCGACATTATTTCAACCTTAAGTCGAAATAACTGCTTGCAGTGTAGACATGGACTATGTTATTTCGGAATAATGTCAGTTATTCCGAAATAACACTGCTGTGTAGATGTACCCAAACAGATACCATTCAGAGAAGCTGAAAACAGCAGAATTCTGGGATTTTTATCTTTTTAAAAAAAAACCTCACTCACCAAAAGTATTAGGTTTAACAGTTCTGGAGACCAATCTACTCTAGACACACAAACATGCAAGCAGTTCCCCTGCCCCTCCAGCATGACCCGGCTCTAATTGGGAGGGCCCATCTCAGGACACATCCGTGTTTGTCTGTTCAGCCTTTGGCTTTTCCTCTGAATCGTATCACCACTGTGACAGCTTTTAGTCCTTGTTTTGGGCCAAGACACCCTGAGGGCATCAGATATGGGATGGAGAATCATTACTATCAATGTTAAGCCAGTGATTAAGATATGAAAGTTTCCCATTTCTAGTCAGAGATGCATAGTCTGCACTGGGTAGTTCCTGTTGACATTTAATGGAGAACACTATTAGTCAGACTTACCTTTATGTATGCAGTGCCTCCAGATATAGTACAGGCATATCTCATCACGTTTTTCAATGTCTTTGCGCACAGAAACTTTAGTAGAAGGAACCGCTTTAATACCTGTAGAAAGAACATTTTAGATCACAACAACAAATCACCTTGCAAGAGGAAAAAAAACAGATGGGTCTGAGTCTCAGTTCTGTCTGATAGGCAACAAAGTCAGGCCATGCTCTGAACCAAAGTCAGGCCATAGAATCAGAGAATACTAGAACTAGAAGGGACCTCAAGAGGTCATCAAGTCCAGTCCCTTGCCCACACAGCAGGACCAAGCACCACAAAGATCATCCCTGATAGATGTCTATCCAACCTGCTCTTAAATAGCTCGTGATGGAAATTCCACAACCTCCCTAGGCAATTTATTCCAGTGTTTAACCACTCTAACAGTTAGGAAGTTTTTTCTAATGTCCAACCTAAACCTCCCTTGCTGCAATGTAAGCCCATTGTCAAAGCAGATGCCTACAAGTTCACTGTCCAGTAGTTGGCAATGACATTGCTAAAACCCAAGTTCTGCTAAGAAGTATGAGGCACTGGGTATTCAAATGTAACTCATTTGTGTCAATGTATAGAAGAGAAAATCATAGGAAGGGCATGTTTGTCCAACCTCGGGGACAGCAGAGGTGTAATTTCTCACACAAGGTTAAACAGATTTCACCAGGGAAACCCATGTATGTAATTTCTCACACAAGGTTAAACAAACAGATTTCACCAGGGAAACCCATGTGCTATGTGTGCAGTTTTGTTGCTCCCTCAGTCTCTTAAAAAAAGAGTTTCAGGACCAGAAAGGGGAACATGCTGAAGGCACGGCCCAAAGCAATACAGAACTGCAACGCTACAGGGTATAAAGCACAGAGGAAGCCAAATTGTTCTGCAGGCAAAGTGTGGGGGCTGGACAGAGCTGTAGGGCTTCCTCCTGCTGTCTTTGGGCCATCATGTTCCCTCAGTGGACTAAGGAGGGGGAGGTCCATATGCGTCCCTGCGTACAGGACTGGCAAGACTTCCATGTCCATCAAGCAGCCAGAGCAGGAGTGAGGAAAGATTCATTATTATTATTATTATTATTTGTAATAGCTGCAGTGCCTAAAGTCCCAGTTATGGACTAGGTCTCCTCTGTGGCAGTAGGCACTGCACAAATACAGAAAAAAGAAGATGATCCCTGCCCCAAATAGCCATTGAATCTGAGCCCTAGCCAGAGGAAACTCTCCATTCAGTTCTGTCTCCTCTGTATTTATATCAAGCTATTATTTTATCTCACACTTCGGACAGAGGCAGAGTGAAGCTGAGTTCCTTCCTTTAGCCAGCACTTGCATTGGCCTTGAGATGCTGCAGAGTGCATCAGGGTCTAGTCACTCTTTAAAAACAGAGTTTTGAGGCACCTTAAAGATTAACAGATTGATTTGGGCATAAGCTTTAGTGGGTAAAAACTGCTTTGTCAGTCGCATGGACTGGAAATCACAGAGTAGGGAGTTTGTATATACTGGTTGCACCTCCCTAAACCAGCTGGATCATGGATGTTTCTGAGTGACAGAGCTCCAGGGCAGGAGGGCCAGCAGGAGAGAGCCCTACGCATGGCAAGGCTGGTGAAAGTGGGGCCAGAGCCTTTGCAGCCTGGCAGTGGTAGCAGCACTGTGGCAGCGGGTCCAGGGCAACCCAGCAGTCTGCTGGATGGCAGCCGGACTGGTGCTCTTGCGGCAACCTGGCTGGGACTAGGGCAGCTCAGCCGGAGCCACAAGACAGTACATGCTGCAATGCTGGCAGTGGGGCTGGGGCAACCACATTGCCTGGTTGGCAGCGTGGCTGAAGGAGTCAGTGGTTGGGAGAGTGGCAGGCTGAGGGAGCTTGTGGCAGGGGATCTGCCTTAGTTCGATAAATTCCCTCATCCAAGACTGCTCGGCAGTGTTCCCGCTAACATGTTCTATCCTTGGGAAGGTTGAATTTTCCTTTGGGCATCTATTAAGGCTTATACAGTTTATCTGGGGAATGTATAGAATCCCCCGGTTTGAAACTTTCACCTTGTGTATGTCACCAACTCACGCTCAGAGGGATAGCCATGTTAGTCTAACAGAAAAAACTATTTTAAAAAAAAGAATGGTCCCACAGCACCTTAGGGTATGTCTACACTACCCCGCTGGGGTAATGTAGGCATACCGCACTTGCAAATGAAGCCCGGGATTTGAATTTCCCGGGCTTCATTTGCATAAGCGGGGAG